GATAAAAGGCCCTGTCTGAGAAGCATGTCAGGACAGTATGATAGAACATTTAAAATGAGGCATTAATAAACTGGTAGACTATTCATTTGAGGTCAGGATGACAGTATATAATGCTCCAGTTAAATGACTGCTCTGAAGCCAATTTGGTGTACTTAATCCTGGGGCGGATTATACCACATTGCATAAAAGTGCAAAGTCTAAATAGAATAATATTTACATTTCCTGGGAGTGAAGAGGAGCAAATATTCCAGGAAGCACAGAAGTACAAGATTTCTGTGAAGCACAAAATAAGAAGCCAGGGAGAAATGAGCAAAATAAATGCTAGTTGCCCATTAAACTCTCAAAAGAGAAGGAAAAGAACTTAATGACTTCCCATTTAAACTCCTGAGTTTAAGGAAAACTGCAAAGAAGCCTTCACAGTCAGCATTCCCTCTTTTGTGCATCTTAGAATATTTTGGCTATTTTATCTCACTAAGGGAGATTAATTTCCTCTCAAATGGAGTTTGGTTTTTATGAAAGAAAATTTTTATGACCAAAGTCTTTCACTGAGAAGTTTCTTTTGGTTCAAAAGAGCTTCTGGGTTTGTATGTTCAGATTATATATAATTGATCAGTGCCAAAACAGATGGTCCAAATGCTTTTTGGATCACTGGCTTATAACTCCATTTTGGGGCTCTGAATTTTCATCTCAATTTAGAAATGGAAACGCTAAACTTTCAAAGCCCTGGCAAGATATGAAAACTGCTTCTTTCCCATCAGTAGCTGGAGAAGGTTTTGTTCCGGAAATGAGGATATTCTTAGCACATCATAAATAAAAGTAAGAGAAATAAGCTGTTTTGTTCTGTCTTCAAGACCTCACCTTTGGATTCATTTTATCTGTCAATAAATATCAAGTGAAAAAATCCTAAGTTCTATTTTCCATTGTGAAGCAGAAAACATGTATAAACAGAAATGAATAAAAATATCAAGTGAGCTTAAATATAAATAAAAAGGATGCACTGCCTGTCATCATTACTTATCTTAAATGTCCATTCATCAGTCTCCATTTATGGAACTGATGTGTGGGTTTTGTTAGAGCTGCCCAGTTCTGGGAGAAATTAATTTGTTGACACAGAGCTCCAATAATAACGAGAAAGTCCTTGGCAAATAATTGTGTGCTTTGCTAGATACAGTACAGAGGCTCTTTTCTAGGAAAACTCACTTTGCAGTAGCAAGATCTTTCTTCCTTTTAAATGCTACTATATATATATTTAAAGAACAAACACCAGAGGCTTCATCTTCTTTGCCTGTAAATCAGAATCAATCTGGTAGTCACTAGAACTGTATGGATTCTCTCCAGCTGAGAAAATACCTCCGTTTTCATTTCAAAGACTTCAGCTTTTGCAGGCTTTGTGCAGCAGCCTGTTCCCTGTTTGATTTCCAGATTGCATCTTCTGCCCTGAACAAACTCAAGCTATCATCCCTATAAGCTGTGATATCAGGCCCAGTGTGGACAAATGGACAATAAAAATTCATTTAATTATGTGGTGAAAATTGATCTTCAGATGAGACCTCTTTGAGTGCTGCTAAAAGGTCCTACTGAGCCAAATGTCTTTCTGAAATGAAGGAGTGTTCTTTTAAAAGAAATTGTTAAAATTGAACACACAGAAATGTGTTTGTAGTAGGCAAAACTAGAAACAAGTATTTTGATGTTACCATATTTGCATCTTTTGCCTTGGAATGTTTTGCTTGCTAAGCTCTGCCTTTGAGTGGTTATCTTATCCAAGTCTTAAAGATCTCCCAGAGAAACCTTAATAGGGACAAAAGGGAACTCTTGATGTTGGTGCCTCAAAACATTTTTGAAGCTTTCATATAATGTAATGTCACAGATCCTCAGTAGATACTGTCACATTCATTCAGTTGAAGCTCAGATGGGATACCGTTGGACAATCTGAAGATCACTGGGTGATTTATGTGGGCAGCTGGTTCAAGTCCAAGCACTATTTATCCATAAACACTTATTTAAAATACGTCAAGTGAACGACTGTTGAAAAGTGCCTGTTTCTCTCCACTGAATATAAATAGAGCCTGGGATAACCAGCTGCCTAGAAGTAATTCAGAATGAAATTATGCCAATCCAGCTCAGCTCCTTATGCTTTTACTCTTCTTATCCTCACTGTGTGATGGAATCACTTTATAGACAAGGCCAAGTCACTTCACTTTTCTCTCTTAGGTAGCTAATCTAAAATGGGGAAGAATGAGTTATTCTTTTTCCTTAAGAATCCTGTGGGATGAAGCCAGTAACAGGAGCTTTGTGCATAACATGCCAAAAGCTGCATTCGTGTCCTGTCCTGGTGCAGCAACAACTGTGGAAAGTAGCCCTATGAGAAAGTGGAAAACCAAGCCTTGAAAGAGCTGCATACATTATTCATATATTCTAAAACCAGAATGAGAAATGAAGGATTTTTCTAACCTTACTTTATGCATAAAAAAGGCCATAGGATTCTCCTGACTTGATGATCTTCTTTGCATCCCAGCCATCATCTCTTGAGCTGATACATAATGACTCATTTTTCCAGTACCTTCCAGCCAGCCCAGGATGATCTACTTCCCCCTGTCCCATTTACCAGCCCTTTTAAAAAAAAAAAAAAGACTCTAATTTGCAGGGAAAGACAAACCAAATTTTGATGTTGCTTTTTTCCGCCCTCTGTCTCTGCTTTTCAGGCAAATTTATTTTCTTTTCAAATTTTCCTCCTTCCTCCTCATGAACTGCTGAAGTGTAGAACTCACTGACACTAGGTGCTGTAAAGATGAAACCAAGAGGAAATTGAGTTAATGGATTAGACCCCCATTCAGGGAGGAAAAGCTCATTGAGGCACAGAGATAAATTCCTACTGCCTGTCTCAAAAAGTCCTCAGAGTTACCTGTTACTGAAAGCTAGGACTTTGTACTTGGGCAATGTCATTGAGCGTTTGCCCTCACATATTTTCTTTACACATCAGGATATGCATGGTGATCAGATGACTGGGTGTCTTTGGGTGACTACCAGGGCTTTGACGAGCATTTTAAATTCATTTATTAAATGTTAACAACGTGTAATTGTGTGAGTAAATGTGAGGTCTGGAGTTTGGACCAGTTTAAACTTTTGATCCTCCCTAAGAATCCAGAGGAGTTTGGATCCAGGTTTGCTGCCATTATGAGGATCAGAACAGGAAATAAAATTCCCGGGTCTGAGTTTTTTTCTGCACTTAGGTAAGGTAGAATTTGAGATCAGTGTTTCTGGAGCCTTGGGTGAACAGTGGGACAGATTTTCTGTAAATGACAGTTAGGACTAGAGCACCAAAGTGCCAAATGGGTTAAGGCAGCCAACCATTAGCCAAAAAAGTTGTCTCCTGTTCCTTCATGCTTTTCCAAAAATCAGTGTGACTTTGTATTCACAGCTGTTCCATTGGGAAATGTTAAGACTATCAGGATTTATTTAATCTAACTCAGAGGAGAGATCTTTTTGCCTAAACGTAGGTGCATAGTACCTTTTCAGATGCTCTGTCAGCCCCACATGGGTCTGGCAGAGAGGATACAGATCCTCTGGAAAGCCTATGCCATTCGAAGAAGTAGTTTGAGGTCAGGCAAGATACACCATGGCACCAGAAACGACTCTCAATGAGTGTGTTCAGGCAACCAAATGCAACCCTGTAATACAGCCCTATAATATGTGCCCTCCCAACAGGTCTGTCTGTGCAAGTCACATAAAGAGGCACTTCAAAGTGAGGAGAGTCATCTCATGCTGAAGGAAACATTTCAAATAAACAGGAGGAACTATAATGTAAAAATAGCTATTTTTCTTCATCAGTTATTAAAGGAGCTGGTGGTACTTGGCTCAGCCTTAGGGCTGGCTACAAGACTACTAAGTTTTATTGCAGATGTGAGACCTAAAGCATCCTCTCCAGCGTTTGAAAGATGGTACAGCAAAGAACTTTGGGAGAAAGATAGAAGGAAAACAGTATAACAGTAAGATGTTTGCAAGACTGTCCACCTTGTTGACAAGTACGTGACTACGAACATTAATGGAGGAGGCGAGGGGACAGTCACTCTGAAATGCAGACTTGAGATTACTGAGTACGTCCTCAGGTGGATTTTAGTGTCTGTCTTCAGACCCACAGGCTTGAACACTGGCCAAAAGACTAAGGATATGAAAGATATTCAGTGCAAGAACTAGGAAGAGGACTCAGGGTGAGTGGCCGATGCCCCTGTTCTGGCCTCAGTGTTCCTCTCTCCTGGAAAATAATACAGAAATAATGTTCCTAGCAGGTTTTCCTCTGATACCTGGACAGCTTGTTAAAAGTAAGCACCAACGTATCTACCTTCCTGTTGCTGCTGTAGACAGTTGTGGTCTCTCACCAGCCCTGTGTCACACGTACCAGTGCCACCATAGGCCTTAGCTGTGCCAGAGTACCTCAAGCGTTACTGTGGTCTGTGCTTGGGTGGCTGCAATGTGTAGCCTTCACCAAATACGGTACACTGAATACAAAGGGAGTCCAGTGTGTCTAGCTCACGTTGAGATCTCTGCAATGCAGCCTTGTATTTTGGGTCTGGGGAGCCCTACCTAACCATTACAGCCTGCTGTGGAATGAGAGGATGGTTTCAAACGCCTGCTATATCAACACAGCGCGATGCCACCAAATACTCTGTGCAGGGAGCGTGGGATGAGCTCAGCCAGAGACAGATGCAGACAGCCAAACAAATCTCACCGTGGCACCCAGGAATGGAGTAAAAGGGAGTAAAAATAAGTTCCTTGCTGAGACCTTTATTTTTGTACTCCATTTTCATTGCTGTTTTGAAAACATTAATAGCTGTTGGATATTTACTGCATAATCTGATCTTTCTAGCAAACTTCTGAATCTGTTGCAGTCAATGGTAAAACCAAGAGGCTGTTTTCAATCAGACTGGAACTGCAAAATGTGCCTTTAAGCCATTATTTGACTCACTGGTCTTATTTTTATCTCTCTCTTCCTTCTTTTCCAGATAAATTTTGTATTTCTATTTAACATAGTTAGGATTTTAATGACAAAGCTGAGAGCTTCAACCACTTCAGAAACAATACAGTACAGGTAAGTCAACTGGCGCTTCTTGCTGTTGCTGGTGTTAACAAAGAACTGCCTTGCCTGCCCTCTCCTTGTCCCATCTTTATCTTTCCAGATGCCACTGTTGGTCTCAGAGGGTGTCTGTCTTGCCCCTTGAGCTCATACAGTTAGGTACACAGTAATGATTTTCGCAGGCTATCTGTAAAAGCGTGCCTGCTTTTTTTCTGTCCACTCCATTTCAATATCCAAACAATGCAAACAGTCTAGGCTTACAGGCACAGAGACACGTGCACCGCCACAGCCACCAGCCTCTTCACCTCCTTCAGGCTTGCATATGCCCCAACGCACACGTGAAATTTCCCCCTTTCAATGAAATCTGAAGGATTCGATTTCAGGTGAGGATAGGAACTTTATAAATTTCTATATGTACGCAAGCATATATATTATATAAATATATCGTAACTCCTTTCACTGATGACTAGACCATTCATTCAGCTAATCTAGAGAATCAGTGAAAAACTGTTCAGTCCCTACTAGGTTGGTTCTCTGTCCCAGTCTCTAACTTTGTAGATGCAGAACAATACGATATCAAGACTTCCCAATAAATCATGTGCATATCCATATTAAGATCCTTGTTCATGCGAATATCCTAGCAGAGCCAGAAGCAAAAGAAGAACAGAGCCTGGGCCAAAACACTCAAATCATATCTGTAATCAATGGCAGTATCATTGCTGATGATTACTGTGTGCATACAGGTATTTACAGTAGGGTTTAATGTTCTTTTTAAAGTGTAGGGTATGGGAATGAAGGGTGATTGTGCCCCTTCCCTTCAGCTGGTACCACCATTATTGTAACCACTCAGTGGATTGCATCACGGAGCTGATCCTCAACTAATCATTACCTTGATATGGTGTGGGTTCTCAGGTGGATCAGTTCCGTGAACCGGCTGACTGTGCAACCTCACAAGCGGCAGTATGGCAGAAAGGAGAAGATGGGAACGTTTAGCCCAGGGCAGCAGAAGGAAGGTGGCCTGGCCCCTTCTGGCAGCAGTGTGGACGTAGATCAGCCAAAACAGTCTAAAAGCAAATTCTTAGAGAGCAGGAGATGCTGAGTGCCCTTCCTGTCTTACCATTTGGGGTATCTTGCAAGATGTTTGGAGCATTTATGAACAGACAGGTCCTTACCCTGGGAAATAGCGCAGGTTTTGTGGAGTAAGATTGATCATAATCCTTTAAATCGTTTCTAGATAAAATCTCAGTGTATCAAGCTGAGGCTTGAATCTTGATGTCCTTAAATCAGCCTGCTCTTGACTTTGGAGGTAGTTCTGCTGCAGTAATGGAGTTTTATTGTTTTGCCTGATTCCTTCCCTTTACTCATGTCTGGGGTTTGGGGACAAACATGAAGTTAACACAGTGGTCTGATTTTCTTGTTCAGACTCTTCTCTGCACATTTCCTGAGAAATGAAGGGAAAAATACCCCTTTTTCATACTCAAACCTCATGCCATAAAACTAAAACTAGAATGAAAAAACACCGATTCAGATCTCAGTACATTTTTCTCCATGCCGCAGTTTGCAGAGAGCATTAGAGATACTGGATTCTGAGGCAATCTAAAGTTAACAACTGCCTTTGTCCTTGAACAGATGACAGTGATCTTATCCTTGCTACAAGCTCTGTGAGGGAATTTTCTTTTTCATGGTCTAACTAGAAACCCTTATAATTCCAGAAAAGCCTGGGGCAAGCCTTGCTGCTCTAAAGCTGAGTAGTCCAAACATTTGTTAAGCAAGTAGTAAGTGATGTGGCAGCTACTTTGTTAAGACTGTCACTCTGTCTTGACACTGGCAATGTTTTTGTACTCCCCTGCCTGCCTACCTGCCTGTCTTTATTTACCTGTTATGGCATTATACAGAGACTTATACAGATTTGGCAATATTGCAATATTCTGTGTTTGTACAGTATCTAGCACAGAGTGCTGTTCTGCAACTGACATCCCAAAACACTATTATAGCAACAATAATAAAGATTAGCCCCTAATAATTCTGTTAATAATCACTTATGCTTCATCGTGCACTGTCTGCTTGTTTGTTATTTATAAGGCAGCCCCAAGCAATTGTGTTGGGTGTGCAGGTGTTGCTGTTTGGAGGAAGAAGAAAAGAGAAAGGGAGGGATATAGAAAAGGTTTCCATTTGTCCCCTGGAATTCAGGGTATGGAGCCGAACAGCAGGATTCAAAGGCAAATGCTTTCGCAGAACACATGTCTCCAAGTGGCCAGGCACTGGTCAGAAAGTGTTAACCACCAAACTCACCTGTGGATTCACAACCCAAAGTGGAGGCTGTCACTCTTCCCATGCTCCTCTGCTAAACTCTGGCCAGGCTTTCGGACATGGGATCGCATGGGCTCCCTCTTAAATGTCCTGTCACAAGCCTTAAGAAACTTGTGTTCTTCATTGCCTGAGGCTCCTAGGAGCCCCCATCTTGGGTTACACAATAAGCTGGTCAGAAGCCTTGGGACTGTTCCTGTGCAGGCAGGCTGAATAGCCTGGATGTCCTCCTGGGAAAAAGTTCAAATTATTTGGCCATTGTGCAAATATAGGCTTCCACTGCTATCCTCAACAAATGCTCTGGCAGCATGCCTCGAAAGATGAAGGTACCCACAGGGAGTACTTGTGTTCCCTTACTCTATTCACTCATGTTAGACACTGGGCAGAAGTTGACTTGTGAATTTCTCTTTTAAAATGCTTCTTTCCTCAAGTGACTGTACATATTGGTTAGCCCTGAGCAGACATGGCTTAGGCCATCCCTGTGTTTTCTTCTCACCCTGTTTGACATGTGTGGGTGCAGAACTGTCTTAAGGAAGCACCTGAGTTCCCTCTCTAGCTGATATAGGTACTTCACACCCTCTGAATTTCTCTGAGACTCATTCCCTCTCTCCACTAAAGGAGTGATTTGTTTGGATTGGGTCAATCTACAGTGGTTCAGATAACACAGTTGCTCTTTTTTGTGTTCACTTGTGTTTTCTGTTTCCTGCCCACAGGAAGGCAGTCAAGGCAACATTAGTTCTTCTGCCTCTGCTAGGCATCACCTATATGCTTTTCTTCGTCAATCCTGGTGAGGATGACATTTCCCAGATCGTCTTCATCTATTTCAATTCCTTCCTGCAGTCTTTTCAGGTAAGAGAGCAAGTTTACAGCTGGTGTCAGCTACTGCTGAAAGGATCCTTAGTGCTTTTCAGCCCTGAAACTTATGGCAATGAAGTCCATGATAGAAATATTAGTTGAAAATAGCTCAGCTTTGTTCATGCTTACGTAACAGATATATAAGCATGTCATATGGAGTGGAGATCTCCTCTCAGGCGTGTACTGGAGGGATTCATCTCCCTTAACATCAACACTATATTCAGTCTATAGCTACAGCTCCTCAACTGGGCTCCATCTAAAGTCAATGGAGAGAGAGCTGATGTTTCATTCTATCCTGAACTGCCTGAGAGAGGATGATCAATCACCCTCCGAAGGTGACTCTCTCTTCTCAGAGCACACAGTGAGCTGAGACTTAGACTAGATGTTGCTAAAACAAAGGGAAACAACTCCTACCTGTTGGGCTCATGTGATTAAGACATTAGCTATATCGCCCAGCCTCTCACTCCAGCTGTACTGCAACAGTGCATGCACTCAGCCTTCAGACCATACCAGCTGAGAACTCATACCCTATCATCTCCTCCTTCCTCTGAATTTAATAGGAGTTCTGCCAGGATGTAAAAGGCAGTGGAATGTAATTGCCCCAGCTTTCTGGATTTGGCACAAAACCAAAAGTGACTGAAGACCTTGAATGGTCTTTAGCCACACATTTCTGCTTAAGTGTGTCCTACAGCTTTACGTCTGCTTAAAGACCTTCTTGAACCAGAGTGGAACTATGTTTGACATTAATGTTTTACCTCTGATATGTGCAGGAACAAGCACTCTGATACCCAGGATTTCAATACAAATATACAGCACACACACTGTCAAACCAAATCTAGGGTTATGGATTACAAAAGTTTTGAGCTTTGGATTACTGTTTTTACTGATTGCATATTTAGCTTTGAAATACAGAGCATTCCACCAGAAATCGCAACTGAATATCCAAAATGAAAAATGTCCCTTTTAATCTATGAGCCAAGGAACTTTAGCCTTTACCAGTGCACCAATTTTTTATCTGCTGATGCTCAATGTCTCAAAAAATGCTACACTGCTTATTTTATTGCTAGTGTTATGAAGACTTATGTAAGAAAAGCACAGGGAACCTCTCCTTTATGTTGACAATAATTACAGTTCATTACTGAAAGCAAAATAGGTAGGATTCTGTTCACAGGTTTAGAGATGAAAGTGTCATCATGTTGTCATCTGAGCTTCCATTATAGTCATTACCATCTTTGCAGTCATTACAGGGGTCTAGTCACTGCTGTCGGTAGATTCCACAGAGCAGTTCAGCTCAGATGAATGTAAGCAACCTGAAGATACCCCGACCTACACAAGACCATCTATGGCCATTTGACACCTCCCTGTAAGTGTCTGAGACATCCACAGAGAGCTGGCAGGCGTGACGTAGCACCTGTGAGGGGCCTGTGCCATTTTGGGGAGGTAGCTGGAAGCTGTCCGTCTACTTTAACGCAGCTGAAGTGGCAATCCCCTCTGTCAGTGGAAGAGCTGTCGAGATTCTAGCTCTCACGTCTCACCTGTGAGCTGCAAGACACTTAGTATTTTCTCGTGAAGTTGTAGGTTAAAGATTTCATCCGTCTAGAAGTGGATGATCTCAACAAGATTATGTTTTTGCTCAGGATGATACTAGGATAAAGCTCAGTCCCCAATTCTGTATGTTAAAATACTTACCTAATAATTGACTGCTTTCTATTCTTTCCAGGGTTTCTTTGTGTCAGTATTTTACTGCTTCTTGAATGGTGAGGTAAGTACTGTTCCCTGCTGTCAGTGTAATTAATTCTCTGGAGGTGGAACTTACTTGAATGCCTGATTACAGAGACATGAGATGTTTTTACATGGGGTCATAGTCCCATCAGTCTGCTGCTCTTGCGGAAGTTTCTGTTAATGTGCATCTGAATTTCCCAGCCCTCTTTGTAGGTGTCCTTTGATCACAAAGCTTTATCAAATTCAGGTTATTACTTCGGAGGTCAGGGCAGAGGAAAAGAAGTCTACTCAGATTTTAAAAATTTTGTTCTTCATTTTAAGACTTCTTTGAATTTTCTCATTAATTACAAATATGATTTTGGGGCATACATGAGCATTACTTCCAAGCTGGGCTTTTGTTAAGGATATGCTGCAGGTGACCCATTTTTATAATGGGATTGCCATGTGGAGTGAGTTAGTTTTTCTGTGTGGATGTCTATCTCTGAGTGATCAATGCCGGTTGCATTCAGAAAAGAGGGTTGGGGACAGGGTTGGTGGTGTTCCTTAGAATTAATTTTAGGTACTTGCTACTGAAGCAAGAGATGTTTCACTAATATTTCTCGGTGTTTGACTTACACCCCAAAGCATGAGTTTTATGTTTTTTCTCCTACTTACACTGCCAGTGTCTCATTTACCTGCATTTAAGCGTGTCATCTTTGTCCAGTTAAAATTTGTGTCTCTGCAGAAATTAATTCTATGTCTTAATTATTTCTACTGTATTGGTATATATTTTGTTTGTGCTACTTCTTCATTTCATTGTGGACTATGAGAAGGAATGGGCATGCCTTCTCATCTAGCTGCTCTGCAACATTTTCTATACTTCAGCCAATGAAGCACCAGTATTTTTATGTGTTTTTTCCTTTTCTTCATTTCTCTGCTTCTCATTGGTTCTGAGGTGATGTTAACAAGAAGCAACGCTGCTTTCTCAGGTTAGGCACATGCCACTTTTATATATGGGCAGCAGAGTGTTCTCAATACTCTTTCCAACTTTCCCTCAATAAATTCTGACCACTCTGTTTGCCTCTTAATAAATAGGGAGGTGACATCTTCCCCAAAAAGTACAGGCACCTTAACTGTGGGACTACAGTTACCTCAAAACCTTGCCATATATCTGAGTTACTCATGACCATACTTTGGTTTTGTGAGCCGTGCTGCTGTGCAATCGGAAAAGGTGAAAGGCACCAGAAGTCTGACATGTCCCTTGACTACTACTTGTCATAGTCATCAGGTTTACACTGTTAATGCAGAAGGAGAATCATCCATGTAGACAGCGGACTTTTTTTATGTCTTTTTTTGCTTCTTTTTTTGTCACTGGTGTCACAGTGAACATCAGGGGCTGGAACCGAGGCCACATGATTTCATAGTCGGTCAGGACTCTGTATCACCCTAGTGCACTTTCATTTTGTACACTTGGGCTAGGACCAGCTGGCTGTTCATACCAGACTTTCACTCTTTTGGCTATTCCGGGATTCTTTCAGCTGTCTTGTAGTTGAAGAAATATCCCCTTGACTACAGCAGTCTGAAGTTCTCTGTCCAAGGCCGTGAGCCAACTTCCCATCTCCTGTAACTTAAATGAGTTCAGACATAATCAAGGCTGTTGAAAAGCAGGATGATTCAGCTCCTCTACTTCTATGCCTTGATAACAATCTACTAGCAGATCTGGAATGCTTTCCATAACTGATTTTCCTAGCTATATCACACTACTATTACAGTTGGAATGGACATTTCTGTGGGAGTCAGCTCAAGGTTAAGACACCCAACTTGGGTGATGTAGGTGATGTTGATTCATTTCCCTAAACATAGGTATCGAGTGCTGCTTGAAAGGCTGTAGAGTATCTGAGGCATCCAAATGGGTCTACCAGATATGATACAGGATCTATAGAAGATTCGCACCTTCTGACTGGGAAGTGGGAAGCCAAATGGGATACAGTGAGGCTTCTCAAATGGCTCTCTATGTCACTAATTCAAGCCGGTCGATACAATCTTTTTCTCATCAGCTTAGCCTACAATAGACACTTCCATTTGCTCACCTGAACAACTCTAGTCTTCACTGACAGTATGGGCTAGCTCTCTCCACTGACTATTATGCATGCCTAGACACTGTGCTCACATGTAGACACCTACAAATAGCTGAGTTCGTGAGAAAAATCTTCCCTGTAGCTGTATGTATACATCTAATGTGCAACTTCCACTTGACTATCTAAACCATGGCAACTTCCTAACTACTTCTTTGAGGTGTAACATGAGTCTAAATCCACCAAATATTGAGGCGTTATTTATTTCAAAACTGTGAAAGGACTTTGGAATCTCCTTAATGTACTGTGGGAATGTTTCTGAAGTATCATAAAGGTTTTAAAGGGTGAAATTTCCTGCTCTGTTCTAACTTCAGCTTTGCACAGCTTAGAAACAAGTAGCAAATTCAGGGACTTTGCAGAGCTTTCTGGGTTTGTAATCATATTGCCTAGGAAAAAAATTGCATCTTACAGTATACTATTATAAAAGCTCTCCCTTGTCATAGTGCCTGTCCTCCCTGGATCTACACATACTCATAAAGCATTTTAAAAAAAGCTTATGTTTCCCAGATCATATCCTGAAGGCCACATTACATCACATCACATTGCAAAAGCATGCAATGATGCTGTGTTTTGCCTCTTCATGAAGTGCGAGGCCTGTACAGGCTACATTGCCAGCTGAGGCATATCTGAAAGCCTTGGCTGTTAGCATAACAAAAGTGTGTTTTCTTACTGTAAACTTCCATGTCTAAGCAGTGAAAGCCATACTGATTTACGACTCAGATTTGCAGTACATTGTTTTCCTCAATTATCTGCTATGAAAAAGCCTGTATTTCTTAGTGCATGTGAACAGCGTCACATCAGAAGTACTGAAATATCATTTGCCTTTTCCTGACGTTAGTTGCTCTCAGAGAGGCATCCCTACTAGAAGTGATGATGAAAGTAATGCCACTCAATCCACGTGAGGTACCAGCACTCTTAGTGAGATCCACAGCAGATTTTGCTCTAAAAGAGGAAAATAACCTGTAAGTAGTAGCCTCCCTATCCCAGAAGTGGATCTCAGGAGGTTTTAAGTACTTCAGGTTTTCCAGTTATGAGACAGTTGGGTTCTTTAAATGCGTGTAATAGTCTTTAACGGGTTATTCATCCCACACAGTGCCAGGCCTGCTCTGAATGATGGCACAAGCAAAAAGGCTAGAAAATCCATTAATTTAAAGCTTAAAAAATGCTGTGATCTCAGCTGCATCTCTACCATTTCATATTTGATACAGATGCCACTAGGTACTTACAAACTTCCAATAACTGCCTATAGTAGAGCTCCGACAATATGGATTTCCGATTTCCTTCCAAAAAACCCATGTGTGGGACATGGTCTTCAATGAGTGCTTCATGCCTGTGAGAATGAAGGACTTCAGCTTTGCTCAAAGGCAGACTTGTCTCTTCACAATTTATGTATTTCCTTTTGCTATGGGACTATCACTACTGCTTTTAGTGGAAGACAGAGGGAACACTGTTGTGAATCCCCCAAATGTGAAGAAAGGGCTGTAGAGATGTTCTACTCACTAGGTAGCCACATAAAAAATCCTAGGTAATCTAGTTAGGCTACTGCTTTGTTGGGTTTTTTTCCTAAAGCTCAGTGTGTCAGTGTACTGAGTTTTC